AGACGCCCCTCTAGACACATTCCTTGCCTCCTCCTTCTGTTCCTATACCTGCCCACGCGTGCACAACTGCCTGGGCAGCGTGTTCCCTCCAACCTGACACAGGCAGCCAGGCAGACCCAAAGCCACTTGGCTGCAACCCAGCCGCACCTCTTTTCTTTAGCAGTGGGTATTAGCGATTTTTGTTAATGGGTGTCAATAACACTAGTAAATAACTATTTAGAAACTTCTAAATAATAAATAACTATTTAGAAACTTTATTTGATATGGGCAGCAGCGAGAAGTATTTATCCAAACTGTGCAGAAACCTGGGAGAAATTGGAAAGGCAGTATTTAAAAAAAAAAAAAGATAATAACAATAATAACCAAAAAACCGCAAGCAAATAAAAAAAGCAATAATTCAGTGTTTCTGCCCGGTTTCGAACCGGGGACCTTTCGCGTGTGAGGCGAACGTGATAACCACTACACTACAGAAACGCTCTTGACGACCTTTTTCTGCCTGCCCGTACTCTGCCCGTACTCTGCCTGCACGGTCCTCCCCTCCCAAATCGCCTCCTTCAAGGGGCTGATCCAAACCCACTTTATTCTGGGGGGCCCTTCGGCTGATTTCAGGAAAACGAGCTGGTTTCACCGCCGAGGAGTGCAAAAAAAGCCTGAATTCGGTAAAATAAAAAAGCGAAACGAGCCCTTCTGCGCCCTTCCCACTCCACGGTGGGAGAAAAACACCCATTCAACCAACTTTTGCGATATATAAGCACACAGCGCTGGGGTGATTTCGGCCGGAGGGAGCGGCGCAAAAAAGGAAAATGAGCTTTTTTTGGTAAGAACGCGCCCAAAAATGCCACCTGTCAGGAGTGGGATTTGAACCCACGCCTCCACACGGAGACCAGAATGCCCAACTGCGGGAAGGCAGAGCCTTGAGTCTGGCGCCTTAGACCACTCGGCCATCCTGACGGTGACGAATTTGGGCCAGAAAAGGGAATATAACGATGCTAAAAATTAAGGTTTTTGGCGTTTTTTTTTTCCTTGGGGGTTTGATGGCGGTTGTCAGCGGGGAGCAGTGAAAGATCGGGAGGGTTTTTTCAGCTGAGTCGTGGGAGCGTGGGGGGAAAAATTAAGCGCCCAACGTGGGGCTCGAACCCACGACCCTGAGATTAAGAGTCTCATGCTCTACCGACTGAGCTAGCCGGGCTCTCAAAACACCCTTTTCCGTCCTTATTTTGGTGCGGGGTTCTGGAGATTTCAGTCCCTCTTTCCTGCCCGTGCGAGGAGTGGGGCGAAACACTCGCGGCGGAGATTTTATTTTATTTTTTAATTCGAAAGGCTGAAAAATCGCCCCACGCAGGTTCTGCCGCGCGGTTTGGGCGTTTATTGCAAATTCATCCGATTTTTCGTCCTGCAATTAAAACCGAGAGTGATGGCCCTCGGATAAATGATAGCGACAGCAGCAGGAAGGCGGCATTCTGCGTGAATTCCGTGGGAAAGCTCTTTTTTTATCCACGCGTGTTCCGGTACCACGGAGGGTACACAACTGAGGGCAGAGGGAGCCCTTAAAGAGGCCGCGGCGCGTTTCTGTAGTGTAGTGGTTATCACGTTCGCCTCACACGCGAAAGGTCCCCGGTTCGAAACCGGGCAGAAACAGCTCCAAATATTTTCATTTTTACTCCTTTTCATGAATTTTGTAGATGAATAGTCCCCCAAATTCTGGGATGGCAGCGCTTGCAAAAAACTGCATTTATAGCACAAGTTGCAGAAGGGGATTTATTTTAGTCTATGCATTAATATTTTCCCTGGGGACATGGTGATAAGTGGAGCAGCGGGTTCAGCGCAGCCTGGAGTCTCACCCCAGCATGGAGGCATCGCTGGGGACAAATGTCCTTTTTGGGTAGGAATGTCCAGGAATCCGTTAAATCGTCTGTGTCCCCCGACAGTCTCCTATGTGGGGAAGGGGAGCAGAGTAAACGCGCTCTCACATCCCGTCCCACCAGACGATAGAAATATTACTCTTACAGAACCAGCTCGACTGCTTGAACCTTCCATGGATTTGGAATTGCCCATTATTTTCTAGAGAAAGGGAGAAATCCAGCAGAAATGGGAAAGGATTTATAAATTCAGCGTTGGAAAAAAAATGATCGATTTTCTCTTCCCTGACCGGGAATCGAACCCGGGCCGCGGCGGTGAAAGCGCCGAATCCTAACCACTAGACCACCAGGGAGCACACAAATCTTGGCCCTTAGACCACCGGGGAGCCGATATTGACCCAAATTTTACCAAACTCATAATTTATCTCCGCACATTTAGCCCCCCCCCCAAGCTGCTGCCTCCCGTCAGCCTGACAGGAGCTGCTTTGCTCCGGCAGCAGAACTAATCAAAAATAGCAACGTTAGTTAAAAATAACAAAATGGATTAAAAAATAGACAAATTAATTAAAAACATTTGTTTTTCCGTGAAATACCTCTCCCTGGTGGTCTAGTGGCTAAGAGCTGGGGCTTTGCCACCGCTGGGCCGGGGGT